AAGACGTGCAGCATACCCAGAAGACCGTCTCGACGAGAGCTTTCCAACGCCGCCGAGATTGCAGCCGTCCGACTACCCACGCGCCCGCACGCGCCGCCGCGCGGTCCCAGCAATGCAACTTGTCTACATTCGTTTTGCACTCTTTTGATCCAGTTTTCGATCCGATCTTGTTCGTGCAATCCTAGGATGCGATTTGCAGTCAACAATTCATTCGTGTGTTGTGTATGGCCATCTAGATAATCAACCAAATCGCCATAAATTTTAAGCCTTAAGTTCTCTACACAAATTTTTAGATCCGCTACGCATAGGTTTACGTTTTGCTATTAAATTCGTGATTTGTACATAACGAGATCTTCATTGATCCCAACAGTACAGAAGTTGAGTGGAGTAGCCTGGACCATGTTGGAAACCCCAAATCCTAATTTCAGATGTTGGTGGAGTGAAGTCTGTTGTGTTGTCCAATCCACTAGCCTCAAAGACATAATTAGTCTATTTTGTTCTATACTTTGGTGGTTGTAGAAAACTCAGAATTTATAGGTCTTCCAAAAAATAAAACTGAGTGAATGGCAGGTGGCAGAAGGTGCTAAATCAAAGTGGATGGAATTTGTTGATCTTCAAACCAGGCTAGGAGCAGACAAAAGGAAAAGAAGCTACACTCCTGTGATGCTGATGAGCAAATTTTTCCAGAAGGTAGGACAGTGGAGCCTTATTGTCAGTGCCTTGAGATCTTCAAGAAATCAACTAGAGATATCATGCTTAGCTGCGAAGGAGGGTGATGAAGCTCAGATTCTGAAGGCAAACCTGTGGTATGTGGGCTGCAAGGAAGGAGCATTGCTTGAAGCTACCATGTGGACCATGTTACAAGCTATTCAAAAAGAGTGGCAGGACTATATAGCTTTAAGCTGAATGACAAGAATATGGCTTTTAAATTGCAAAGGAGATTAATGTATTTGATGTTTGTTGCAATATAATAGCTGAGGATGTTATTACTCTTTTGGTCTTTTGATTCTAATGTTTAGGTTGTGGTAAATTTGTGCGGTTTGTTGAAGGGGTAGGTCTGTGTTTCTATCTTTGTGATGTAAGCGCCCGTTTGAGTGTCTGGATGTACATTGTTTTGAGTTTGCTAATATATTTGATTTGATTGTCGTTGGAAAAAAAGAGATACAGAGAGAATCGGGAATTAAAAAAAAGAAAGAAATTCATTAAGGAAAAAATGAATTGAATAATAATTCTACACTAGGGGTTATGGTATGTGTTAATACCACTAACTGGGCATATCAATTTACAAAACATGAATTTTAACCATGTTTTGTAAAAAGTTAAAATTTAGCTATCTTGACATGAAAAGTTATACAATTACCCCCAATTCAATTTTTTCACAATTTCTGGGACCATAGGTCATTTATGAGACTATAAATAATTATTGGGACTAGAAATCGTTTATGTGACACTATTTATGGGAACCAGAAATCAAGGGACGGGAAGCTAATCTCGTTACCTAATTTTTGGTTTATTTATGTTTTTATTTTAAAAAATTAGATAGTAAGGGTGTTTTTGTTTTAGGTGTAAAAACGACTAAAAAACATGTTTTTGCCAAACATGCCAAAAAAAAAAAGAAAAAATCACTGTAAAAAAGATGGGCTGGGATATCGTTGGTCCATTCCATAGTATAGCAGTTGGATAATAATTTTTTCCCCTAATTTCTGGGCACCTGTCTAATCGCACTTATATATAATTTTCGGATGCGCTGAACCTAAGTGGCAGACTCATGTGCTTCGTAAGCTTATCTGGCATAAATTGGTGCTTCGTATTGGCATTTGTTCATATTTGGTGTTAACTATTAGGCTTGAGAATTACCATATACTATTTTAGTTTTTCTTTTTTTTTTTCTTCCTTTTTTTTTTTTCTTAAGTTACCATATACTACACTTACATTTTTTATTTAATTCATATATTAATTATAATAAATATGTATTTTTTTATTTTTAAAAATTTATAAATATTGTATTTGTATTTTAATTTTTATATACGACCTACCAAAATAGTCATATTTTAACAATCTTCGTTTTGACATCCATATTGCATACATAAAAAAAAATATCTATATTTATAAATAAAATCAATATTATCAACTCAATTTAAAAACATCTTATAGCAATATAAATTATTTTATAAAAATGATAAAAATCTAATTCATTACTACACCATAAAATAATCACTTTATTATTTTTATCCACGAATTTTCAATAAAATAACATAAAATAAAATTTAAGAAATACTGTAAAATATTATTTCTTAGTTTAAATACATTATATAAGAAATTGGATGTCATTATTTTATTTAAAATAGTAAATATAAATAATATCATCATTAAATATAATAAAATAATTTTGTATTTTCGTAAAGTTAGAAAATAATACATTTCTAAATAAATTCTAAATTATTAATTATATAACTTAAAAATACTAAAGAAATTAATAAACATGAACCACTGACTCTATAAATATAAATATAATCGCAATACTATAAAATTTGTTTTGTCAAATATATGAAGTTATCAGTTTTATACATATATAATTTTAAAATCATAATTAAAAATATCTTTTTTTGGCAAATTTAGTGTAAAGATACGGGCACCATTTGAATTAATTATCACTTTGTTAGTTATTTATTGTTGTTGTATATTAATGATACATAATTTTACAATAAAAGTGTAAATTATTTTAATTTTTATAATACAAATATTAATATATTTAAGTATTTGTGTAGTACACGGGTATTATACTAGTATTCCAATAGCCGTGAACTTTGTTTTGCTATGAGAAATGGGTAGGGTTCCACAAACTAGTTATTCTACTTAGGCGTGTAAACAAAACAAATTTTTTCACTCGGTTTGATATCTGAATTCGATATCAGTAACTCAAATTCGAATACATATAAAGTTTTGTATTCAAAAATTAAAGAATTTGAATCCAAATTTTTGTTAGCATAATTATATAAATTATATCACCCCTATATATAATTCCGAATGCGCTGAGCCTACGTGGCTGCTTCTGGTGCTTCGGAATCCTACTTGGCGAAGAATCATGCTTCGTGATTAGGTTTGGACAAATAATATTAATATATTAATAATTAATAATCTAGGTTCGGACATTCTATAAATAATATTTAGCTAACTTAGGTATTTTAATATCACTTGTACTAATATAACCCTTTAATTTTTTGTAATTATACATAGTGAGCCACTAAGTGACTATTATATCCCTGATTTTTGATTTGTTTCATTCAATTAGCTATAGAATTGTAAATTTATTTTAAAAAGTTGATAACTTTTTTTTATTTCTTATCGTTTTTACATATATAATATATCAAATTAATCATCTTTTGATGATCTTCGATTTGACATCTATATTGTATATATGAAATAAATAAATTATATTTATCTTTATAATAATAAAAAATAATAATATTTATTAAAATTCATAAAAAAATAAAATTATAATTCAATTGATATATTTATGCTTAAAGTAGTTATATTTATAAGTTAAAAAAGTTATTATAATATAACACATGTAAGTCGCACAAATAAAAAATGTCATACTAAATATATAATAATATATATATATATATTTTTATAAAAAGTATTTAAATTTCGACTACTTTTTCTTATTATTTTAGATTTTAAGAAAAAAATTAGCAAACACCCGTGTAATACACGGGCGTTGTACTAATAAATAATATATAGTATAACTTTTATTTATAATATTTATTGTTATATTCCTAATATTTTTTAATTTTATGAAATAAATAGTAAAAACATCACAAATTAAGAATTTTGCCCTAATTCTTAGTTCATACGTCCGCGACTTGTTCATCACAAACCCCTCTTCCGTCAGTCGTCTCCTCATCTTCACTCTTCCGTCGTCCAGCGTCCCAAATTTCCCAGCTTACCGCCGGTCCACCGCCGTCCCTCGCCTCAAATTTCCAATTGCGACCTTTGTCGGTTCGCGCCCTCGTCCGCCGGTAGTAATTGTCTGCGAGACTGCGGCACGCCAATTCGCGCTTCTCGTCCGTGCTCCTCAATTTACCGCTAGTCCTCTATTACACTCCTCAGTTCGCCCGCCGTCTGCCGGTCCTTGTCCACACTCCTCAGTATACCCGCCGCCCGCCAGTCCTCGTCTACGCTCCTCAGTTTATTGCACTCGTGTAACGCCCCCGTTCCTTTTTTTAATAAAAGCATGTTCATTAACATTTGCATCGCTCGACTAAGTTTGACCCACGGACATCGTATTGACTTGAAATTGCATTTGACCCAAAATTTTGAACTTGGGAAGTGCATACAATGAGGTAGTATTAACTGTGTGCGTTTGTGTTATTTTTAGCCTGAGTATAACAACACTAAGTATTCGAAAATTGAGATGACATTCAAAGATCAGGAGGTTCTTCAATTCGGAAATTGAAATGCCATTCGAAAATTAAAATGCCGTTCGGAAATTAAATTGCCATTGAATTGCTAAGTTGATGATGTTGAAGTAAGGATGATGATGAATGTTTTGTTGGAGTTAATTTGGAACAGTTGTTCTTTTTTTAATCGTGTGTAAATATTGTATTTGAACTATAAAGGTAAGAACTATTGTGTTTAATATATTTAGGATGAATTATGGATGCTTATTCATGTTTTTTTCATAGTTCAATGCATTGTCACACTCATTGGATAGGAAAAACATAAACAATATTTTTGTAATTATAATTTTGTTTAATTATATTATTTTTCTGAAACAAATTTCGAATCGAATAGAATATGTTCGAATATTCTAAACGAATCGAATACGAATCAAAAAATGAGTTCGTTTACGATTAGAATACAAATTCGAATCTTCGAATATTTTAACGAATCTGAATCGAATATCTTAGTATTCGCTTTGATTCTATTCGTTTACAATCCTAATTCTACATAAATTTATTAGCTACTGAGACTTTGAATTACTCGGACGAGTTTCCATGAATCCTTTGACGCTGGTGAAGCGCATCCAGAATATTAACAAGAAAGAAGCTAGCTTGGGAATATCAGAAGAGGCATCATGGCATGCTAAGTACAAAGATTCGGCTTATGTTTACGTTGGCGGCATTCCATTTGACCTAACCGAAGGCGATCTGCTTGCTGTCTTTGCTCAGTAAGTTTTCTGCCTTTATATATTCTCTTTACATATTAACCTGTTGTCGGGAGTTGATATATAT